TTTTGGATTTTCGCCCCCCCCCCCCCATGAAAAATCAAATGGTCCGTCCCTTAGTATAGCTTACCTAAAATGTATGCAGCAATCAGTTTTTGATTTACAGTCAAATGCAGATATGGCGGTAGCGTCGAGTTCTTTTCACCAACAGTTGGTAACATGAGAGCAATAAGACATAATAAACATAGACTTATAACCAAGGCCCCTGGACCACTTTTTACATCTTCTGTAAAAACTAGATGTAAACAAAATGATATAGCTATATACTAACAATCAACATATGAGCAATCATAACAAATCAAGATGATGCTTTTTATCTTATGAATATAATTATCCTTTTAACTTGCAAGAAAAAACCCTGAATTCTGATTGATTGAGAGGAATACAATTATTTCAATTCATATCGTTAATTAAAATGGACTTAACTGCCTGTCAACGTACCGCTATCAAGATGCTGTCTTCTGAAAGATTTTTCTGTTACTTTACTTCTGGACTGTTTCTGAAGAAGACGAAGAAATCACAAAACAACTTTAAATACTGGTACTTCGCTTTCTTATAAGAGTTTGTTCCAGTATTCAATCCTGATTTTATCAACAGCCCTGTCTGTTTTACATTTATTTGTGGCGAAGAATGAGGAATTTCCTTGTTATTTCGAGGAAAATGATAAAAATTTGTACGTGCCGAAGTCGGAAATAAAACATCGCTCTTCAACATAGAAAAAGCACTTTAAAACATTTCCATCGTTCCAAAACTTGTTTTGTATTAAAGTCGAGGTATTCTTGTTGATTTTGAGTTTTTAGTCCTTGCTTGAACTATGTTGGAAAAATCGATGTTTTCAAAGTTGTCTTATTTTCGGAATTTCCTGCTCCTCCCAAACATCGCGGCTTTGCACCCAGGAATGAGAATTTACATCCACGGGCAACGAGATTTTAGCCAATAAGTTTTCCCCCATTAGAAAGCTTCAATTTTTTCCTCAATTTTTCCGCAATGGCCACTCTATTCTTTTATAATCTCCATGCTATCGCACATCGCGTATATTATATAGTATGAGACTGGGACTAGTCATTGTGAGTTAAAAATTGGCAGCAACATTATGGAATAGAGGAGCGCAAATTCCATAGGCGTCATACCTTCATCTCTGATTACATCAATGACTGACCATCACTGATCCTTACCTCAGTATTTTTTTTTGTTCGTAGGACTAACGCAGTTATCTCTTTTTCTCCAATATGTTTCCGTACTCCATGTTCAAATAAGCACAGACGAAATTTGTCAGTTCTTTCGATCAAACTGGATATTTCGACACAACGTATCACACTGCAATATTTAAAACAATACAAAATTTAAATGGCTGATTGGAACTTAGCAATGTTTTTTTATAATATATCGATAGTATAACCTTACTAAAGTTATACTTCACAGTACTTCACAAACCTAAGTTTACAGGGTGTATCAAAATAAACGCAATTCATCTGTTGTGCTTAATAACTTTCGAAATACTATTTGTAGTTAAACGCTTTTAGGCTTACTTCAAAGCCTGTTCTTTTCTCTTTCAAACAAACTATTATCC